CTGCATTTCAGTAGGGTACAGCCTAGGAGACTATATAAATCGAAACAAAATACAAGACATCCATCGACCAACGCTTGCTATCCCGACCATCCAACAAACCTTTGTGTTTTGTGGCGTCACGCAGCAGCTACAGATGTCAGCCATTGACACTGGCGAAATTTGGGGTGCAGTTTCATAAATACGCACATGAAAGGTTTAATTAATAACGAGGTTTAATTAATAACGAGAGATCATATATCATGAAGGCTCCCTCGGCGTAACGAGTGCAAAAACTTAAGTACTTTCGGTTTCGACCGGACAACCCCTTTAGCCAATTGTAGAAGAAAGAAAGGAGTAGAAGAAAACGCCAGTATTGTTAAGTTCATGCTACACTTAGTGCATACCACAACACTGCTAGCAATAACCCTTTAAAGGGATGCTGAACCAAACAATTTAGTGTCCATAATAAGCGGCGCACATCCTTTCCAAGAGCCAGCAGCCGTCTTTGTGAGCAAGAACACGCAACGAAACTGACGTCATAGACCCCCATTCGCGCTTAAGATGACAGTGAAATGTATGAGCTTCGGGCCAATGGAGAATAAAGGCAGTCTTTTCATCTTCACAAGGGAAGGTAAGTGGTGAAAGGTATGTGCTCGTTGTACCAATTAATCGCTTACCTTTTACACCAGAGACCATTGTGGAGATGAAAATCTTGTCATTATTATCCTTTTTCCTGGAGCTCGCACATTTACATGCCATCTTAAGCGTGAACGGGCGACTATGATGTCAATTTCGTTGCATGTGCTCGCGCATGCAACGAAATCTTTCCACGAGGCAGCAGCTGCCAGTGGCAGCTGCTGCCTCGTGGAAAGATTGTGTGCCACTTATTATAGACACTGAAATGTTTGGTTCAGCATAATTGTTTGTTTGTTTTTTCTTTTTTTAAAGATGTGCCCCAAGGGTTAGCTTTTGTTTCCAAAGAATTGTACAAAGGAAGACTCATGCGCAGTTTTTCTTTTAAACTGTCAAACAAGAGCAGATATAGTGCTTGCAAGCTGTCCATGTTGAGCAGCATAGAATGAAAAAACCGAGCGCAAAAAGCTGTTGCCTTTCTATTCCGCTTTTACTTTGGCACATCCGCCTTCCCAACATTCTGGCAGTCTGACTTTGGACAGGAGCTACTTGACGGAGCTTCTCCATCTAACAATGAGCCCTAATCCTCCGATTTCAAATCTAAGAAGTTTTGAAAATGTGAATTGGAAAATCACACGCGCCGATTGCTGCTACTGCCAAGGCAGTTCACATGCGGAGCGACTATCTTGCAAGTGTCATGTGGACGGAGTGTCCAATTTTGAAACTCAGAAAAAGTTCCAGCAAGGCTAATGCAATGTTTATAGTTTGAAAAAGACATTAAAAAAAATATTCCTAGCAGCACCTCCCAGGGTGATCGTAGTTTCACGTTTATACGGGCATTCTAAATCTGTAATTGCCGCCGTACATGTATCGCAACTATCATCCTTTTTTTTTTTTTAAGTTCTTCTCTTCGATTTGAATGACTGTCAAAATTGCCAATGTGGCAAAAAGTGCTCATTTGGGGCCCTAACTAAGCGTTAAAAGAAGACGCGCACCAAAATAACGCCGAAATCGTGTGAAAGAGCGTCGATCTGGCATTTGTGTGGTTTACAGGAACTACAAATCAGCACAAACAAGGAAGGGCAGGTTTTTTTTTGTTTTTTTTTACATTTTTCTTTCATACCTGCAAACTCCCATCAAATTCATTAGTGTGGTGGAAAGTGCTCGTCCTGGGCACCAACTCAAGCACCAAAAGCTGGTGTTCATCAATACAATGCCTGAGCAAAATCCTAAAACCCTTGATATCAAGCAACAGGGCATGAAACAATATCTGGTTTAAACGTTAAGCGGTCTACATTGAGGATCACAATCTTGGTGCAGATGACGAGATCACTCCTGGGTGACAATAGTCCTACACAGCTCATGGAATGAACACAAGTGTTGCAAAAGCAGCCGAGTTAGGCTCAACTGCAACTGGTGCCTTGCCAGACATTTGGGCTTGGCTCATGTCTGAACACTGAAATTACGGGAACAGCACTCAGGTGCTCCGTGAATTGTCAACACCTGTACGTGGCTGGGATGAACGCCGTCGCCGTATAATCGGCACAACTGCTAAGTGAATGCCGTTTGTATTTCTCCGAATGCTCGCTGCAGCAGCTAGCGTGTGGAAAGGAAACCAATATATGTTTGTGGGCTGCAAACATCAAAAGCTCGTTCCAAGCATCTACCGAAAACAAATCGTTCCACGGCCCCAAAATAAACAACGATCACGCTGGGCTCAACTTCCCGATTCCAGGCGTTGGGAAAGGCTAAACAACAAAATTACTCCGAGCGTATGCCTTAGAACTTGCACTCTGTTCGCAGTCTTTTTATGCTTCATTTCCCCAAAGGGCTTTCGTAAATCCCGCTGCCGCAACAGGGGCGCCAAGGAACACCAATGTTCCCCTCGGCGGAACAAATGCGGAAAAAAAGGAAATCAATAAAGGCTGGTTTACAGATTTTCATTTGACTACAAGCAACTGAATTACGACTCGTGACCGCTTACAAGAGAACTCTAGGAAACACGCTACCGATCTATGTATAGCCATACTAAAGGTTATCCAACATTCGTAAAACAAAACCTATGAACTGTCGCTCATACAAATTGCCAAAATTATTGCGAGCACACGGTGAGAAAATTATGCATAAAATATATGAAAATCGGAAGCATTCCAAGGCTTCCCGATAGATGGCACCACTTTGTTCTCTTGCCAGTAGCACACGCAAAATATACGACCTCTACATTATGTAGACTGGGTGACCCCTAGATAGGAAGTGCAACAAAGAAAGCAGATCATGGACCCAAACCTGATGCAACACCAGTGTTGGCAATTCATCGGCTTTCCCTCTTACTTCGGCGGTTTTATGACTTGTCAAGCGGGAGAGATGGCCGTGTTGAGGTTGGCGAGACTTTCAACAGTTTTGAAGTCGTGTTAGTGTTTTTTCTGGCGGTCAAAAACGTCCTCCAGCTGGCATTTCTAAATCATACATAGATTAATTTTTGTGGCAAGTTTGAATCATGTGGGGTCATTATTTTTGCTTACTCTCAGCAAAATTGTTGCGACTCTGTATAGATATCATGGGGGCAAACATTGAAGCATGGCGTTAAAATCGTCGTTCTTAGCCTGCACTTTAAATTTAGCAACTTCTACCGGTTTTTCCGGTGAAATTTTCAGAGCCACTAATATGCATCAAAATTCATCTTGGTGCTTCGACATATCTGCTTCCCCGACGTTCGCCGTGTTACAAGTCTATATCGAAAGAGCCGGCTCTCCAGTCGCCAATACCTCCGGCATTATGGTCCAATCAATGGACATGCCAAGACACCATCTAGTGTATCGCGCGCAGAGAGTCTAATTTCAAAAGTATAGATAGGCATGGAGAGTCTTATTTCCAAACTATCAATAGGCATGGAGAGTCTAATTTCAATACTATCAAGAAAGCGAAACGCCACAAAACACAACTTTTATGGCTTGCCAAAGATATACCAAAAAACGCCTTTGAAGGTGCGTACGGGCCCTTATTCGCGTTTAGATGAGCACTTTGAAATGTGTAACTGTAGCTGCACCGCGACAACTGCCAAAGGGTTAAAGCAGATCAAAATCACGCCACCAAAAAAAAAAAAAAAACTCAAAAAATATAGTGCTTTTTAGACTGCCCCTAGACTCTTAAAGGGACAATAAAGACAATTTTATTTAATTTCTTTAAATGGTGTTTTTATACTTCTTGGGAACATAGCATGCTGCCCAATGTTTTGTAGACATTTGTGACGCGCATTTCTGTGCCTCCAAAAGAAGTAAAGAAACCGAAATTGAACAATCTCCATTCTCATTTCTGGGCCTCTGAAAACGGAGGTGACGTAGGAGTGACGTCAAGTGTGAATAGTTAGTATCGGTAGTATCTAGGAAATTGAGACTCTGGTTACCGGGTGGGTTATAGCAGCACGGTGGCTTCGTTGAATCTGTCAACCATGGATCGCAATGCCGCTCTTGCGAGCGAGTTCGAGCTTCCGTTCAGTGTACAAACACAAACCGAACAAGAATATGTGTGTGGCAGCCTCCCCCATCACCCAACGGAGACGACGGAGACCGCCCAGCCGGTAACGAGCGGCCCGCATGCCGAAGTGCCCATAGCTGCTCTTGGCCGTTTCGCATCCAGCATAGCAAAGGAAAAAAAACAATTATGCTGCTGTATTTACGGTTTAGTAATCATTTCCGGTCTGATTTATACTTTTCATGGTTATTGAAGCGGAAATTAGAACAGTATTTCTAAAAATTGCAAATCGAAACTTGACCGAAGGCACGTCTTTCGTTTTGGCCAATCAGCGACGCGTCTCTTGTGACGTCGCACTTCTTGGCCCCGCATCGGTCACATGAGCTCCGCTGCTCCTGGCTTCTCCTGCAACTCTCGGGGCGTCGCCCCAGTCGATCCCGGTACGATTATTACCACGACTGTTTAATTGACTTGCGCGACACAGAAGCGCCGGCTTTGGCTGAAATTTGGGCAAGGTGGCCTGAGACGTGCCTGGAACCCAGTTCAATCGCCAAAAAAATGTCCGAAATTGCCTTCATTGTCCCTTTAACTTATATGACATCCGATGGCACCCCACCGGAGAGCTGGGAAAATATGTGAACCTTGGCTTTCGCATCATGTTGATTTGCTGTTTTATCAATAGCTACTTTGAATTTAGAGATAATGAGGAGCATGCCAAAAAAAGAAAACATCCGGGTATCCCAAAAATGTGTTCAGTTTGCGTAGCTTGGAAAACCACAAGATTCTACTATTACTAGCCCTCACGAGCCGCCGAAACGCATTCGGCCGCAGTCAAACACAAGCATATTCTACTGATACTAGCCCTCAATTGTAATAAACCAGCCCCAAACATTGCAAGGTAAGGTCACGGAACCCACCTTGCCGGAGCAGCACGTGGCGGACGGCGGTCTCGACGTAGTCGTTGGTAGGCTCGCCGCTGTGGATCATGAGGCCGTCCACAAACTTCATGGACTTGGCTCGCTGGCCCCTCAGCTTGCCCGAGACCACCACCTCGCAGCCCTTGGCGCCGCTCTCCATGATGAAGCGCAGCACACCGTAGCAGGCCCGGCGCACCGCCAGGCCGCCGATCAGCTTGTAGCGCAGCGACTCGCACTGCGCTATGGCGCACAGGCCGCGGGAGGCCACCTTCTCGGCGTACAGCTGCGGGGAAGTGGGAACCGTGGCGCCACCTCATTGTCCCGTCGTGGGCCAAAAGGCACCCGAAGCAAGATAGGGAAACTGTGTGCATTGCGATGTTTATACTTGCTGAAAAGGTAAGAATGGCACAGAAGAGCTTCGGTTGCCCCGCCTCCAGGACAAGCTTCCTACCTTCAATGGCACTTTGACGTTCGTGCACCTGGAGTGCACGTGCGTGCGCTTCAGGTCTAGTCAATTTGTTAGTGACTATAGATTCACCTAAAAAAAATGTCACGCAATTCTGTATATCGACGCGCAGCCAACAACTAAAGGAAGCAAAAAAAAAAAATGGATCTTAGTTTTACGGTTAAAGTCGGGAAACGCTGAATCCGTGCCGTAATTTCAGCTGCGCCGGCTGCCTTTATCGAACTGTTCGGAGTTCGGGACTCGCACTAAAGAGGATTCGGAAATCATCTGTTCTTGACCGTAACTAATTCTACGGGCCCTAAGCATCCTAAAAATCCAAATATTACTATCACGCGACGCTGATTTCCTTACTAAAGACGTGATGAAAGATTGGTACACACCACTTTCTGGGTGTATTTTTCCGCTCGGGAAAGGCGGGACAAGGCATACCCTAACAGCGGTGTCAACGCGGGATCGATGGGTACCCGTCGGCCAATTGAGAGACACAGAATGTGTAAAAACAAGGTTAAAGTGGCAGTAGGCAATTAACTATATTTAGAAATTCTGTCGAGTCGTATGATTCTGGTCCCCCCCAGAGGAAAGAGAAGGGAGTGGGTCAATCCTCATCGCCTGTCGCGCGACTAGTTGTTACGTGGTAGCGAAATGTTTCAACCCAATCGGCGTTGGCCTCGGGCGGAGAAGTGATTTTCATGAACGACCCATTTGTTTTTGCAGTAGCAATCACTTAAAATGGCTGCTATTTGAAAGAAGCGTCAGGGTGAAATTTTATGATACAAACAGCTGTTCAGTTTCTCTTGCCGAGAATGGAGCCATTTGGATAAAAAGCTAGTTCAAGGATGGACAATAATGGACAACAGACACCATATAAGAATATTTGTCACACGCCACTAGATATAAAATCCTACCAATTCTTTAAACATTTGCACAGGGTGAGGCACTGTGAGCTAGCCCAACGAAAATATGGCCGACTCGTAAAAATCCCGAAGGCTGCTAGAGATTCGACAAGCCATTGGGAGCAAGACTGGAACGAACCACCGCCAATTCATGTGCGAGGAGTATTGACATAATAAGGCACGCGTTCACTAAGTACCCGTGGGGCGACGAGTGTGTGGCTGGCCCCATAGGGTTATTATAATGTACGCCAGAGGTTCAACTGGCGCTAGTATCTATGCGACTTCCATGACGCAAATTGAAGCAGACAGCAACCAGTCTACTTTTTACTACAAGTAGAAAGTAATTAGTACTCATGAACAAAAACACACACCAATGAAAGATGCGAGGCTTTCCACCATGCTGCATCAGCGCCAACCACCGGAGCAACAAGCAGAACAGTGCACCGTCATTGTGCGTAGCAGCAACTCGGAGGCAGCGTGGGATGCCCTTAGCACCACAATCTATTGAAGAGTGGACCTCCCCAACAGGGCCTCTCTCTCTCTCTCCGCCCCCCTTACAAAGAGCAGTTTACAAAGTACTTTTTCCTTCATCTGCCGGCACCAAAGGACTGCAACTCTCCCTCTCTTTCTCTCCCCCCAAACACGACAGGACAGCCACAGGGCCGAGGTCTCGATATTAATAAAACAAATACATTTACCACCACCTGGTTTGAGGTATGTTGCAATGTGGGCATAGCAAGAACGAGTAAACAATCCTTCGGGTGAGGACGCTAGATCTTGCTAGCTCCATTGAGCTAGTGACCTAGATTTAACTCCCAAGATCTCGCTTTTATACCCAAACTACAACGCAAGTTACAACGAAGAAGTTTCTCCCTTCTCCTTCCTGCCGGTGTCTTTTTCCTCCTCAAGTTTAATACCACAATTGTCTAACCAAGTCCGAGAGGGAAGGGTGGGTGTGTGGGGGGCATTACTTTTGTTAAAAGAGGTGAATTCTACCAAAACCACCCTGACTGCTTCACCATCGACCTCAATTGGGCAGAGACTCTGCAAACCGAGTACCGGACAACTAACAAGACCACATTGGATGCACTTCCTGTGCCTCTGAAGTCCAAAGGGCAGCAATGGTGGGACTAACCTCCACGGTCCCCTCAGGGAAGCTGAACCTCTTCTGGACGACCGAGGTGAGCTCCCGGATCCTGCGGCCCTTCTCGCCCAGCACCGACTGGGTGCGGGTGGCCAGGATGATGATCTCTGTGTTCTGTGGTGTGACGCGCACCTCCACGCCCGAGTAGCCATCCTCGGCGAGTTCTCTCCGCAGGAACTCGTTCAGCTCCGCCTTGAAAACACCGTCGGCGACAAACTGCACGCAAGGGAAAGGATGCATGTTAGCAGGGTGGCTATGGCCACAGACAGGACAAAAATGAGGTATCCACTGGGTGCCACATTTGGGTGTGCCGTTCCCTGGGCACGCTAGGGACGAGCTCACTTATAGGTGGTATCCAGTCACGGCCATAATTGAGTCCGCTGCCTCCAAGCTCAAGCTTGTAAGGAGCTTCCACGATGCTTCCAGCCATGCATTGCACACCACACAAATTGGAGTTCTCCTTGGAAGTTTAAGGGGTGCTCGTTCAGAGCATGGGCTGTGAACACCGCGACCAAACATGCCACCCAGTGAATACCACCCATACTCCTATAGCTTAAAAAGACCAGCAAACGTGTTCCACCAGTAGCTTCTCTGCAACACCTTGTAGACACAAATCCAACCCATCAGCCTTAGTATGCGATCAGTGATACAGCACTAACCCATTTCGGAATCTGGAAGACACAAATCCTAAATGGCAGCCCACACATCTTGTTAACGCCCGAGAACATACAATTATTCCAACAGCGTTATTCGTAGTACACTTAACTGCCTGCCACAGCACAAGTACCCCGCAAATCCTCGTTTTAAAACGTTCGATGAAGAGATTGTCACAAATCTAGGCTGGCACATAAGAGAAGGTCACCACGGAGAACACGAACGCTTCGATCAAATTCTTAACGTTGAAGAGGTTGTAGGCGAGGTATTCAGCAAGTGCCAAGCTGAAGGCTGGAAACACGGGAGAACTATAGGGTAGAATAATCTATGAATTGCTCACTACTCCAAGCAGTTTTTTTATTATTACACTATCCGTCACCTTACGTGGCACATTCGTTCCTTTAATTTTATGCGCTTTCTTACGATTTGATAGGAATGGCACCGGCTCCTTGGGCTTCAAGCGGACACTATACTTTATATTCACAAGCTTGTATCCTGTGCTACGCTAATTACAAGGATATTGTATACTTTAGAGGTATCAACGTGATCGGAGGCAACAAAGTGGCACTTTTTCTAAGCAAAGCCGCAGACGGCGGATAGTTGTCACGCACAGGAGCGTGATTTGAAGCAAAGCACTCCTCCAGGTGTGCCGTCACAATCGTCTTTTATCACATAGTTCTACGCAACGATCGCTTCCAGTCTGCGCATCCACCAAAAGTTGGCACTTCCCCGGAATTAGTAACGGGTGTATTTCGGGGTGATCATGAATATTAGAATAATAAATTGAAATTCTGACCTTCCTCTTCTTGCTTATTGGGTTCGCCATGTCTGCTTCTAGACCGGAAAAGGCTGTTCGCGAAGAGAAATCCCACTTCCTTTTCACCACAGAGATGGCTTTTCATGCGTTATCGTGGTTATCATAGACGTACCGTGGCGCTGTAAGTTGGACAATTTGTATGTCTCGGTACTTTCGCGTCGGCCGCTGCGTCTCTGGGAGCCACCGTCGCTAACGACTTTCGACTTTATAAGTAAGGTAGACAAATAAGGGCCAAAACATTTTGGATAGGCGGTAGCTTTCGCCACCCCGCGAACAAATTTCTAAACTTTTTGTCAGTTGCTCTTAACTTCACAAGATGGCAGGATCATACCCTACGTGGAGTGAAAAGGCGCGACAGATGACAAATTTTCGAACGAAGCCGCCGCGTGAAAACTTACGCACGTAGTTCGTACATGGTACATGGTAATAAAACCCGAGACTCAGGAACACAGAAGGGGACGAACACAACACAACGTCTCAAACACAGCACAGAGCTGTGTTTTAGACGTTGTGCTGTGTTCGTCCCCTTCTGTGTTCCTGAATCTCGGGTTTTATTACCATGAATCATCACCAGCTCGCTTGTTTTTTAAGTATTATTGTAGTTCGTAAAGTTTTAGGAAAGTACTATGGTAGTTGGGCGAGTTGGTTTGATTTAACTTGGTTAAAGTTGCGCACTGTCTCTTTCTGGGCAACTTTAACCACGTTGAAACTAGCATAGAGATCATACATACTAACTCTAGAGGAAAAGGTCCGCCATTTTCCCATACATTCTAGCTGCCGCAAGCGGCGGATCATGCAGGCAGACCCTCGGGGGTCCCAAACACGGTTACATCATCAGAGCAGTTTCGTGAACTTCAACAATCCACGAACTTACCGGTGGAAAGATATTCGCGTTCCTTTCGAAGCTTTCTTTTTGCATAGCGCGCAGATGTACGGCCTCGCGTTAACGCTAAAACTAAACCATATACCAGGCTAACGCCGGTGGGGCGCGGGTGGGCGCGGTTAAGGAATACTAAACTGCGCAACCACCAGATATCCGAGATTTCGACAGAAGGGAAGTTAATGCAGCGTAATGACTTTATTGCTTTTTATAAGCGTTTAGAATAGCTCAGAATTTAGTTTACAACGTTAAATTATCACTGTTTATATTGCTGAGAGTTTTCACTCTTCGCGTTTACCATGGCAACGTTGCTTTCTTTCTCTCGTGTTCTGTCACTCTCTTTTGCGATCGTTCACTCGGGACCCCGGGTGTCGGCGCACGGGATTTGCCACTCCTCCTCACCCCACCTTTACCCCCCCCCCCCCCCCCCCACCCCCCCCTGGAAACTAGGGACGCCGCGAACCGCCCTAGGTTCGAAATCGAAAGGTGTCGATATATTCGACCGAACTGAGGTTCAAATCCGAAAGATTCGATATTTTCGACCGTACCGAGGTTCGAAATTGGAAAGGTCGCAACTTTAAAACACCGTGGAGTTTCGAAACCGAAAAGTTCGAAGCTTTCGCGGTTTCTAGAAGTTAGAGGTCGATTATTTCGAAAATATTTTTACTTGAGGTTCGAGAAATTCAAAGATTTCGAACTTTCCTAACTTGAAATTCGACTTGAATTTTGTTTTTAATTTCTTGGAATCTAAAGTCGGAAAATTGAAGATTTTGAATTTCTTTAAATCTGAAGTTCGAAAATTTCAAATTTCTTTGGATCTGAAATTCGCAAAATTCGAACGTTTCGAATTTTTATAGACATAAAGGTCGATAAATCGAAGATTTCGAATTTCTTTCTACTAAAGGCCGAAGGTTTCGATTCCCCTTTAAAACTAAATTTAAAAAAAAAATCTTCGAAGGTTTTGAATTTTTTTTTAAGTCAAAGTGCGCAAAGTTCAAAGTTTGGTTTTCATGTTCCTCCACGGTTTCAGTTTCAAATGACGTTTTCACGCCTCACTGGTTTTCACGAAATCAGGTTTAGAAAAGTCCGGGTGTGATATTTAGTCTGCGCGAAGTTGGTCAGGCAATTAAATAAGTCGACGAGCGTCCCGGCTGTGCTGGAATATTTGCCAGTGCAGAATGTGACCATAGATAAGTAAATGCGGCCACCAGCCCGGGGAGGGGGGGGGGGGGGGGGGGGGGGTTCTTCGACGTGCATCACGCAGTAGTGATCACACGAACGCACTGTTTAAAGATACTCATCCAGTTCGAAACTGCTAGGGGCAACGCAGGTGGTTCAGGCTCAGAAAAACCTTGAAGCTTTCTGGCAAACTGCCTCCCTACCCCCCTTGCACGTAATAATTCGATCGAACGCCGCCCGAGTCACGCTGGTATATAGTAAGTTTAGTGTTGTACATGATGCAAAATCCTGAGACTGGGGAATGAAATTTGAAGGAAAAAAGTCTAAGAGGACAGAAAAAAGGGGACAGGACAACGTCCTCAAACTCACTTAGCTGAAAACTCAGCTCAGTACAACGTCTCAAACTCAACTGAGCTGAGTTTCAGGCGTTGTCCTGTCCCCTATTTTCTGTCTTCTTACACTTTTTCTTTCAAAATTCATTTCCAGTCTCAGATTTTGCATCATGATCAACTACACCAGCTCGCCTGCACCTTGACAATTTTTTTAGTTTGTAATTGCTTTGGAGGTTAATTTCCGGGACGGAAGAAGCGCCGAGCAAAAAGCACAGAAGCCGACACAACTCGAGGGTCGAGCAGCGTTCTACCATAGTGGCGTCGGAAGAGGAAAAACGGGGGGGGGGGGGGGGTGGGGGGGGGGGGGGGGGAAGTGGGAGAGGGGGGGGGCTCCCGTTCCCCCCCCCCCCCCCCCCCCCCCCCCCCCCCCTTGCTTAGATTTTCCGGACTGTTCAAGAAAATAATACGGGCAAAAAGGGCGCGGTCGAGCTTATTTTAGTCTGAAATTATTTATGCATATGTATGGCTACTGTCCCTCTTCACTGCATAAAATATCGGCGGGGATGGTCAATGTCGGAACTCGTTGTCAGAAGGCACTACTCGTCACATGCTTAGTGGTTCTGAAGTTCAAAGATGTGTCTTTTGAACCCAAATAACTGTGCCATTTGACTTTTTGACATTGTTATTGACTGCGTTAGTGAAACTTCTTTCGTGATGCACGAGAAAGAAAAATATGTTCCTTCGGGGTGTTAAATTTTCGGTGAAGTAGGACGCAAAAAAGAAGAAAACAGAATATTTCCCTCAAGTGTGGTTCGTAGTAGGAGAGGAAGAAAAATTTGAAAAATCAGTTGTTAGTCCCACGGTGTGTTATGGTCTTTTCTTTATGTGTATGTTTATTCTAGTTCAAGCCGGCCTTACCTGAAGCACGTAGTTGCTTTAAAATAAAGTTTAACTCTCTCTCTCTTTCTCTACCTGAAGTATGAACCAAACTAGCTCAACTTAAGCCTGTTACCGTTGCTTGACTTTTCGCCCTGGCCACGTGCCTGCTGGCGGAGCTGCAGCACTGTGGAAGCTACGTTATAGCTTCGACACATCGTCGCACGAACTAAACTTTAGGGAGTTTTCGTAGATCGTTTCCGCTGTCCCGCAAACCCTTTCCGCAACCAGCTACGCTAGCCGGAAACTCTACAGTAGGGAGTTTTCGTAGATCGTTTCTGCTGTCCCGCAACGCTTTCCGCAACCAGCCTACGCTGGCCGGAACTCTAACAGTCAGGGCCATCGGCGCGCCGGCGCAGTAGCGGCTGCTTTCGTTGCGGAGGGCTTAGCGGAGGGGGAAACGCGGTCTACGAAAACTCCCTAGTCAAGGCCATCGGCGCCACCGGGCGCAGTAGCGGCTGCTTCGTTGCGGAGGGCTTAGCGAAGGGGGAAACGCGGTCTACGAAAACTCCCTATTGTTACGTCACGCCGCTGCGGTGATTGCTTCGGGTAAACAATTTTGCCTAGGGGTGTGGGCGTAAGTCGCCGTGCGGGACGGGCATTCTTGTGTTTGTTTTGGAAGAAACCAGAGTAGAACTTGCTTTCTCGTCAAAACACCCGCGACTGGGGCTGTGCCAAAAAGAGTCGGGAAAGGGCTCGGAATGTCAGTTTTCATTAGTTTTCTTGCCTGCTCGGTTCGTTCGAGAACGCGGATAGGTGCCGTGAAAGGAGAAAACTGGAACACCGTCGGACCACGATTGCTTGTGCGGAATGCACTTTGGATTATTTCACGGATACTTGTGGTAGTCAGATTTGTTTGTCCTGCTCCAACATGAACGAGGGAAAACCATCAAGCTGTCTGGACCAACCGCGGACCACGTTCAGTTTGTCTTAACCGTCTGATCGTCCGAATTGTTGTCTCCTCGCTCAAACGACAGCGGCCCAGTGTAGACTAAACGTTGGGGATTAGAAGTAAGTGCATTGCAGGTCTGAAAATACTTGTTTTAGAGGTTGTTTGGGATAAGTAGGTTCGTAGTGAACAGTAGTCAAGGAGATGTCGATTATTGATACCAGTGACCATTACCGACTTGTTATGCCTGATTCACTTTTTCCGATTCTACTTGCGATTTTCAATATCGACGTTGAGCATTCGCAGCTACCGTCCACGCTTCTTTTGCCGCCCGATGCGACGTCGCTACTGAAAACAGCGAGCAAAATCTAACCACGTGAATCAGGCTTTAGCGTCCATCCTGCGGCGTTCGCTCGGAATGAATATAGCGGCACGTCCGATTATATTCACGAAGTTCTGCGGTGTAACCCCAACCCTCGTAAGTTTAGTTCAACTCACTAAAGTAGTAAGACATTGCCGTGAAAGACGTAAAATTATCAACCTCCAACGAAAAAAAAAAAAAAAGAAGAGCGCGGGGACATTCCCCGATGCCACCAGCATCACATTCCAATGGTTCGGTGATGCAGGACGCGCGGGGCGGTTCTTTGCACACACCCCATCGCGGATGCTTACGCCGATGGCGTGCCGCTAGGGGCGCTCCGATCATCACACTAGTGCAGGGTCACATATAGGGGCTCTGCACTTAGTGCAGAACCATATATAGGGGATCTGCACCAGTGGCTCTGCTCTGGTCAAGCAACACTTCCTTTGATTTTCCTGTCTCTCTCGATGCTCCGAATGAATGAATGGCCTCTGCCCTTATGGGATCATGCAGCGTCGCCTTGC